TAAAAAAAGGAAATAAATAAAAATCCAGCATTTTGTTTTTTGCAGACATTTTGTTTCCAAAAGACACCTTGACACTATTTTGTATAACAGATTGCTTTTCCAGTTTCCAGTTTTGCATTTGGGAATGAAAATATTAAAACACCTTAGATTGTAGCAAAGAAATTGGATCATTTCATGCTATCATTATATCTCAACAAATTCAGTGCAGTCCCAGTTACAGCACTGCAGTTCCTTTGCAAATGTCTTCAAAAAAATTCTGAATGGTGGACGAGGTGGCTAGGGCTTTTTCAGTCATTGTTGCGAACTAATATGAACCTGCACTCCTGCTATTCTCGCTATATAATGTAGTTCTATTTACTCCTGGTGCCCAAGACTCTTGTGATATACTGTACACCATGCCTGGCCTTGATGGTGAAAAGACAGAATCAAAGCACTTAAAGATCTCACAGGGAAACTATGTGTTGTTTTTTTCCCCACAGAGTGCAAGTTTGAAAAAAAAGAATTATAGTACAGCTTCATAAAAAGAAAACCAGCCGCATTATGTTGTAAAATGGTACAAATGACTTTTTACCTTTACGTAGAATTACTTAAAAAAGCCTTTCAGGAGGAATATTAAGCGTAACATAATGTCAAAAGGAACAAGCAATCTTTTAATGCAGCTGCAGTGAAAGCTAGCATTAGCAGGAGAGTAATTTATGGACCGCCAGCTGGTCTGTAAAGGTTACTACCACAGGCAATTCAGACATGGTGGTTCAACAAGAACCTCATTAAAATACTACAGGCTTGTAGACAAATCAACATATGAAGATGTCTGGTGAGCATAAAAAGGACAGTTTAGTTGTTTGCTCCAGAAAAAGTTGACATTTTGAAGCCTCTCTCTGGGTCTGTGAATCTGTCTGTCTTATGTTCCTCTTTGCCTTCTTGTCTTTCGCCCTCCCAGCACGAATCGTGCGGAGCCGTCAGTGGTGTGAGATGGCTCCCTGCCTGGAGGGGGAGGTCTGCAGCCTCCTGTTCAACCGATCCGGCTGGACCTGCACCAGGGGCAGCGGTCGCATCAAGACCGTCACGGTAATTTACAAGACATGCCATTAATATATGCCATATGCACTTAACAGCATCACGCCTGCTTTTTCAGCATGGGTGACCCCCTGATAGTGTTATGAGAAGCCACAGCCGAGGGCAAGAGATATTACACTTCAGTTAAACAGCAGGTTAGCTCGCAGGTTTCAAAGACATCAATCTGAAGATGCTGAATGAAAGGGTAGAAAACTGATGCTGAACTGCTCTCTGTGGGTTTGTTTAATTACAATCCACATCACGTCCTATTGGAACAAATAAAATAAAATAAAAACTTCTGGGTATCACTCAGATTCCCCATTATCTCTCTGGGACTCAGCACATTGATAACATTGTAAAATCATGAGATGCACAAGCATTAGTAGAAGGTGAAGATGTTCTGAACATTATCATATCATCATTGGTTCTGATCCAGCTCTATTATTGCTCTGTTGTTTGGTCTGCAGCCAAGCTATAAAAGCTGGTAGATTAGCTGTGCATTGCCAATATCACATTAGAGTTGGCAATATGCTACCAAACTATTCAAAAGCACACTTCATTTTCGTATTCTGCGAGCTCCCTCCCACTCAGAATGTTTAAAAAATGCCTGCAAAGGACAGTCTCTTTAGGGGGCGTGGCCTTGACACACCGGAGTGATTGACAGAGCTAGCTTTTTAAGTCGCCTAAGGATCACATTAATTGACTGTTTGTATAAAGCTTTATATCTGGTACCTGTGTTGTAGCTAAGCTAACGCTTCAGAGAGGCTAATTGTCCGGTATGTGTTTATGATAATGTGGATCATTATCAATGGAAGTAATAGAAAAATACTTTCCGTGCCCAGGGTTAGGCTAGATGTCTTTAAAAACACACTGACAATACTATGGCAAATGTGCATATTATTTTCTATATGCATAAATAAGATTTTAATATGTCATATGTTATTATAAATTATATGCCAAATTTCATAAAGTGTGTAGATGTGTCAATATTAACCAGCATTGATGTGTTTCTTTAGTGTAAAGTCATAATTTAGTTTACAGCTCANNGAGTGTGGAGTACCTCTTTAAATTCTTCTCAAGACCAGCTTAAATACATCAGCCAGAAACACCAGTATCTTTCTAGGAATACTAATTAGGCTCAAATACCTCCTACCAAACCTAAAATAAATCATTTGAAAGCCTAATTCTGTACACGAACCTCTTCAGATTTGCTACCAACTCACACTAAATACATTGCTTATACAAAAAGCTTGAAATTGTAAGTGAAATATCTTGTATTTTAGGCAATATGGTCAAATGTAATAAAACTTTGTTATCATCTGGGTTATTTCCTAATTCAGTACAGTCTTAAACTAATATTTGTTTGTATTTGCTGTATTTATGGACCCCGGGAAGATTAATCAGGTAATGGTAATGGGGATCATATAAATATAAACGGCTGGAAGAACACATGGCTGTGGCATCATGTATTTGGGCGCGGCCACAAGTGTACATGCTTGAACATTTTAACCAATAGTGAGAAGTTCAGCAGCAGTTTGAGTCTCCAACAATCAGACAAACCTGTGTGAGACTTTACCCTAAAAGTATGCTGTAAGGCTTCTGACTAGTGCTGACAAAACGTGGATTCAAATATGAACATGAGTATTTGATTAAATAATTTGTTCCGACATGAGATCAGACGTTTTAGATCTTCAGCGTCGTGCTGAGAAAAATAATAATAGCTGGCAACAGTCTATGACCTTTCCCTGACTTTGTGTGAGATGTAAATTAATACAAAACATGTTAAATTTTTAAAACCTTCAATATGGTGTCATCTGGTCCTCTGTAGGCTCCTCTCAGAGTGAAACATGCATCCAATGCCTCAGAGCTGCCAATGCTGCATTGCTGACTGAGGCTTTGCTTCTTTGATTCAGCAGTGAAACATTACACAGGAAGCACAAAGCCGGCATACCTTATCAGTCAAAGCGTGGGTTAATTTAATCTTTTATATTTGTATAATATTATAATAATAATAATAATAATGAGAAGGTAGATAATAATTATGAGGAACGGTATCATATATGAGCTGTGTTTTGAAAAGCCACGAGAGCGCATAAGCAACTGAATGCTCCGCCCTGTCATTGGCTGAGTCGCCAATGGATAAAGCAGGTCTCACTGTCGCTGTATGTGGTTCAATTTCACAACTAATGCAAGACTTTATGCTGGATGGAAAATGGAGGGTCTCTGCTGTTCCTGTTTATACCCGCACGCAATATTCCATCAAAAATTACCTTGTGGTGTAATAGTAAATCATGTTGTGAAATTCCAG